AGCTGACTATGCCGAGGCGCCGGCAGCCACAGCCACTCGGTCTTGGAAGGGTTGAGCCTGAGTCTGTTCCTCCCCATCCAGACCCTTACGGCCTCCAGGCAACGGGCCATCACGTCAAGGGCATCGTTGGGGTGGCCTGGGGTGGAAATGTACAGCTGAGTATCATCAGCGTACTGATGGAAATCCACCCCAAAGCCACAATGACAATGCAAAAAATATTTAAGATACAAATATTAATGAAACCTGAAGCTTTTCTTTTAGGTATGATGGACAAGTCAATTGAAAAACAATTTGGGGTGCTATTCCTTCACATGGTGACGGCTGCGAGGATTATACTTGTCAAATACTGGAAAGAAAAAGAGATGCCAACTGTTGAGGAACGGATTTTGAAATTGACTGAATTAGCAGAGATGGCGAAATTAACTGCTTTGAGTAGAGATAATGGACTAGACAGCTATATAAGAGGCTGGAAACCGTTTGTGAACTTTCTACCTGCTAAATATAATAACAGATGGTTAACAGAGGGATTTGAAGATTAGTGTAATGTTTAGCGTGACCTGTTGACTGCTTTTTCTTGTTATTTCTTTTATATATATATAAACCGGTCTAATAGAGCACCGGTCTACCCAAATATGGGAGGGAGCAATCTACTATTGCTTTCGCCTTTCAGCCCCAATCTAGGAGCTTTTACAGGCAGACGCTAGTGCAGCAAACTATTTCTGTGTTAAAATAAAATCTAAAATTTAACACAGAATATATATATATATATATATATACACACACACACACACACACACACATATATATATATACACACACACATACACACACACACATATATACATACATACACATACACACACACACACACACAACTGTAAAAGGGGAGGAGAATTTATTGCTTTTTTCTTTTCTTTCAGCACTTAGCCAGAGTGGATCCTACATGCTGAATATTAAATTTAATTGAACATTTTTTCCTCCTTTTTGTACACTATTTTCTTTTCTTTTTTTGTGGTTAGGGTTGAATGTATGTTTTTGTTTCATTTTGTTTTATTGTCCTTTATTTTACCGGTATTTTCTATGATAAAACAATAACCTTATTTAAAAAAGCAGGTAAACACTGAAAAGAACAATTACTAAAAGAATGAAGCTATGAGACAGAACAAAACTGTTCTTCAAGCCATTGCCAAGAACATGCATCTCTTCATGTAGTCCACTTACCTCTGCATGGCCACCTGCATTTAAAGTCTTCTTGCATTTTTCACACTTCAAACATGGCCGGTGCCAATCTTTCCCAAGGGAGGTGACTTTTTCAGCTATTATAATATAGACATAAATCAAAAATGTTTTTGTGAGATGATGGCCATATAAATTTGAGAGAGCGAGAGCGAGAGAGAAAGAGAGAGCCCGAGAGAGGGGATAGATAGGGGCAGACAGACAGATAAAAAAACATATATGAAAAAAGTAGGGCCATAAAGGGGAACACTTAGGCGGAATAAAAGTGCTCCACAACTTCCCAACAACTATTCCTCAGGCAGGAAGCCTTTCCCAACTTTTCTAATAAATTCCTTTTTCACAGGAGAACCTGGGGATAGACATGGGGACCAATGGCATGAAAGAATGTGTTCTTTGAGCTGTTGCCTTCAATCATTTGACTGTACTTTATATTGAAGTCATTTCAGTTTCCTCATTCCCCACTCCACAATACTGCTTTATTACCAGGCAGTTAGGCAGTATGTGAATGCATAATCATCACCCCCTTTGCAGAAAGAAAAATTTTAAAAATCCCCAATTCATCTTCTATTTCTGTAAATAAAAAACAAGTTATTTAGTTGCTAGCAAGATGACTGAATATGTCCTGAAAGGTGGAGCATACTGAGTGGGAGTTGTCTGGGAAGAAAATGAGTTAATAATAATAATCAAAACTCAGCTGGATGTTACATAGTGAGCAGGTAAAGGAAAAAAGTTATAGTTGGTGCTAGTTGGAAAATAAACATAGTAGTTGGGACTACTATGGAGAAGATGAATCTGAAGTAAGGCTTATAATAATGGAAGGACCATACTCCAGAAAGAAAAAGCATTTTGAGATGTCTTGACCTGTAGAACACTATTTGGAGGAGAAAAAAATTATCATATGAAAAAAGGGAGCAAGGAGAGAGAATAGATCAGTATCAGGTTATTTTCCAGAAGCAGCAGCATGTATCAACTTATACATTTAGCGTGAAAGAGAATTCTGAAAGTGCTTAAACCATCCATGTAGAAAAAACTTTGGTTAGACTCTTTGAACAGCAATATTAATAGGATTTACATATTAGAAGTATTACAGTATCAATAGGATTTACATATTAGAAGTATTTCTATAACATTGTTCATTAGAGAAAACATCTGAACCCTAACCCTAACCCTGTGCTTTAAACAGAATTGTTCTAAGCCTTTTAAAAATCTATGGATAATTCAGTTCTTCTTTTATTGCAGTCACATGATAATAGTTGCCATAGAGAAAATTGCTGGGTAAGGCAAGAAGATGAAGTTGTTTATCGCAATTTAATCCAAGACTCTCCCAGTAACAAAAACAAACAAAAAATAAAGCAAAACTTAAAATAAAAGATTTTTAAAAAAATAATAAGTACCCCCAAAATTACTGCAGGAGAAGCCCTGCTGGCATCTTGTGTTTTAAAAAGAGAAAAGGGGGGGGGGAGGGGGAAAGAAAGAGAGTGATACTGATTTGGGATTTTGAATGTTTTAAAAATCATTTGAAGGATAGGGAAATGTCTCCTTTGGCTTTTCTGCAGATGCCTCAGGACTGCAACCATTTTCTAAGATTCAAATTTTCCCCTCATTGTTTGAATATTAAGATAATTTTATTTCTAAACTAGAAGTACTATTGTGTGGACTAGACCAGGGGTAGGCAACCTTGGCTCTTTTATGCAGTGCTTTTTTTGTTAAAAAAAAAAAAAGGTGCCGGAACTCACACACGTCATACAACCTGCCTTGCCTACCCTACAAGGTTCCATCCCCAAAAGGTGCCGGAACTCTGTTCTGGGCGTTCTATGACAAAAAAAAAAAAGCCCTGCTTTTATGACTCGTGGACTTCAACTCCCAGAATTCCTGAGCCACGAGTGAAGTACACGAGTCATAAAAGAGCCAAGGTTGCCTACCCCTGGACTAGACAGTAAACCTACTGCGGATGGAAGATTCTGAAAACTGCCAAAGCACTGTTTATCTATTCCAAACTAGTTTAAGAGATGAAGAACAACCTTGCTCTGAACACTGAGAAAGGCATTTATATGTACTTTCACAGAGTTCTAGTTTAAAATATGCTTTCATATGTGTCTAAACTAGCATGAAGGGTTTTTTGATAGTTACATTCATTTTCATAAACATTTAGAATACCAGTATTGAGAACTGATCATAGAATCATAGTACTGGAAGAAATTTTGGAGGTCTTCTACTCCAGCCTCCTGCCCAAAGCAAGAGACCTTATTCCATCCTGGACAAATGGCTGCCCAATATTTTCTTGATCAGGGATCTCCAACTCCCGGGCTGTGGACCGCTACAAAGCCGTGGCCCATTGGGAACCGGGCTGCCGAAGCAGCAGGAGAGCATGCAAAGCTTCATTTGCGCGTGCACAGGATTTAGATTGCATGTGTGAAATCATTCTCTCCTGCTGCTGGCCAAAGCCACTGCCACCACTGGTCTGTGGAATCAAAAAAGTTTGGAACCCCTGTTGTTGAAGACTTCCAGCAATAGAACACTCACAACTCCAGGAAATAAGCTCTTTCATAGATTAATTGTTCTTACTGTCAGGAAATTTCTCCTTAGTTTTATGTACATAGCAGGCAGCTTAACATGGTAACATTTATTTATTTATTTATTATTTAAATTTATATACCGCCCTATCTCCCTTACGGGACTCAGGGCAGTGAACAGGCGATAATAAAAATCACAATAAATATTAAATAAAAAGCCTGCTCTAAAATACCCCATATAAAAGCCCCTACCAAAACACAATCAAAACTACGCCAGGCCGGCCGCATGGAATAGATGGGTTTTCAAGGCTCGGTGAAAGAGGTGCAGGTCCGCAGTTGTACGTAGGTCGGGGGTAGGTCATTCTAGAGGGCAGGAGCTGCCACAGAGAAGGCTCTCCCCCTGGGGATCGCCAGCCAGCATTGACTGGCCGACGGCACCCTAAGGAGGCCCTCTCTGTGGGAGCGGACTGGTTGAAGGGAGGTATTTGGTAGGAGGCGGTCTTGCAAATACCTAGATCCATTGCCATGGAGCGCTTTAAAGGTTGTTACTAACACCTTGAAGCGCACCCGGAAGGCCACAGGCAGCCAGTGCAGCTCACGCAGGAGAGGTGTTACATGGGAGTATCTAGAGGCCCCCAAAATCCCCCGCGCGGCCTCATTCTGAACTAGCTGGAGCCTCCAGGTGCACCTCAAGGGGAGCCCCATGTAGAGAGCGTTGCAATAGTCCAGGCGGGAAACGAGGGCTTGAGTGACCGTGCGTAGAGTGTCACAATCCAGAAAGGGGCGTAACTGGCGTATCAGGCGAGCCTGATGAAAAGCCCCCCTGGCCACGGCCGTCACATGATCGTCTAAAGACAGCCGAGCATCCAGGAGGACGCCCAGGTTGCGGGCCCTCTCCGCGGGCTCAGTTCTGCAGAATTCTTATGGATATTGAAGACCATTGTGGTACACTAGCACAACCATTTGATGATCCAAATAACAATAATAAATGCATAGCCTTGAATGTCTGGAGAAAGAATTGGATTATTTGTATGATTCTTTTCTTTACATATGGGTATTTCTTCATTTTACCGTTCTGCAGTTCAGTTTAAATTTTCTTACAAGGATTAAACAAAACGCTTAACAATAAAAAATGTCCAGCTTTTTCCATTGTGACAAGGGTGGTATTTAGGACTTTCTATGCCTAGGGTTTTTAAAGAAAATAATTAGATAGTATGGAATGGACTAAGTCAGCTCAGGAAGGCACTACAGCCATTACTAATGGCTTATAGTGTCCAAGGAGAATTACCCATTCTATGCTTACTGTTAACTTCATTTGGAAAGACTTTGTGTTAATTTTAATCATTCTGTTTAATTTTATTTTCTTCAGTTGCATGTATTCCTCCTACTTAATTATTTTTACATAATATTTTTAAAACAAGAATTGCATTGCTGAATGTTTACTTAAGGTGTAAAACAAATAAACATAACACATAATAAGAGGTTGAAATCAAAAGCTCTTGTGCACATTAGTTAACTGTTCTATGGCAGCAAATTAGTTTGAATAGCTATTACTCATTTCTGTTCAAAAGGCCCCATTGTGTGCAAAGGAAAACAAACAGCAGCTTTTCTAAGTAGTGCTATGGCAAGATATATATTTATTTAAAATTGTAATATTTTATGAAAGAAGTGTGCTGACTCTCCTATATTCTGAAACTGTACTTGGCACTAAAGAAATACCCCAGGTTCCTCATATCATATTTTGGTCACCATATCACAAAAAAGATATAGAGAGTTTGGAAAAAATCAGAGAAGAGCAACTAAGATGATCAAAGGCCTGGAGACTAAAACATACGAAGAACAGCTACGGGACTTGGGTTTGGCTAGTCTAAAGAAAAGAAGAAATACAGGAGACATGATATCAGTATTCCAGTATCTGAGGGGCTGCCACAGGGCAGAGGGGGCCAGGTTGTTCACCAAAGCACCAGAGGGTAGGACGAGAACCAATGATTGGAAACTGATCAAAGAGAGAAGCAACCTGGAATTAAGGAGAAACTTCCTGACAGTGAGGACAATTAACCAGTGGAACAGCTTGCTTCCAGAAATCGTGGGCACTCCATCACTGGAGATTTTTAAGAGGAGACTGGACATTCACCTCTCTGAGATGGTGTAGCTTCTCCTGCTTGAGCAGAGGGCTGGACTAGAAGACCTCCAAGGTCCCTTCCAGCTCTATTCTATTCTATTCTATTCTATTAAATTGTACCACCAATTTGATATTGCACTGTCTTCCGAGATGCATGCTGTAGCTCTGAATAATGTACGGTGAAAAACATGTTGTACCAAATCCTATGATTCCCTCACATAATAGCCATGAAATATTGCCATGGGCCTCTACAAACTTGACACATGCTTGACTTGGACAGCATGCTAAGGCTAAGTAAGATTTGTAAATAACTCACAATCTATTGTGTACAGATTGTACTTAACTGTGAATTATGATCTATAAACAACAAAAATCTAGATTCATACAGTGCCAAGCTATATATCATATAAATAATATCCCAGATAAATTATTAGTGACTTTTCATTTCTTTTGATAATCTTTTTATATTTCTGGTTGCCTAATTTACAGAATTGCATTGTATATGTAAACTAATTAAATAAATAAGAATCATTATTTCTGGTCTTTAGAATCTAGGGTATTCTATGCATCATGAAATCTGCAAGATTTACTCGTTTATTCTATATTCTTGGCATGAAAAATCTCTGAATCTTAATATTATATCCCTATTAAAATACTTGTTCCTCCGTTCTTCTACTGATAAAAATTACAAGAAGCCAGGAATTTATAATTCAGGTGAGAGCAATTGGCAACTAGCATCTCTTAATTTTTGCCTTTTTGTCTTTCTCAGGCCTAACTTTCCTGCACATAGGTTCTTCAGGTGTATGTGCTCCAAGAGATGTCTGCAAGAGCAGTTCATTGTGCTATTTTAATATTGTTTCTTATTGGCTTCAGCAAATTTCACATCACTTGGCCACACCATTCAGAAATACTGGAAAATATATTTATAAAGTGATAATCAAACATTAACCATGATATACTTGATTTTTTACCATGATAACAGGTTTATAGCCCCAACTGGAGTTTAGATCCAATCAAAGGGCACTGTTTTCCATCCCTCAAACATGGCCTTTTCTGACTTTGGATAGAAAGTTCGCAATTCATTTTTAGAATCCCCTGGTATAGTAGGGGGTACCATATCCCAAAGTCTGGCACTTTTCATATGAATTGAAATTACAACTCTCATGATGCTCAGCCAGCAAGACAACATTGGGACTTCTTTTAGGTCCTTTAGGAGAATTTAGAAACAGGCAAAGCAGTTTAAGGTAAATTGAGAGTACCATTCTCTTACTCCAAATCTTTCTCTGCCTGTGACATGCTATAATCTCCGCCCCTCCCATTTTTTTATTTGACACACTCTTTTCTGCTTTAAGGTGTGGGACGTTTTATATCAAAATATATTTTATTCTTTATACTGTTTCCATCCTCCATTAAAATATTAATATAATCTACAATGATCTGAGAATCAGCATTTCCACTAAATAATTGACAGTCAAGCTGAAACTAAATTAATCAAATAAAAATAGCAAACGGGGAATATATTTTACCCAAACTTCCTCAAACCTTCAAATCAGTTACCCAGACCTAATCCACATATCAAAGGCTAAGGTCTGCAAACACAAATAGAGTTAATTAAATTAGGTCTCCCAGCAGAACTGCATATTCACAAGAATAAACATCAGAGACATATCTACACATACGCACTCACACACACAAGTGTCACCCTAGAATCAGTACCTACACACCCCGGACAAGCTCCCTATTTAATTGGGTTGCTGTTCCCCCATTTCTCTGCAACTTCTCGCAAAGGCAAACTGTTTGCTTTTAGGAATAAACATTTCTTCTTTCCTCACAGCTGTCTGGATCTTATTTTTATTTATTCTTATGCAACTCCGGCTGGAGTTGGAACCCCAAATTATTATTCTGACAAAGGGAAGAGACTTTTCAAAGTTCTAAAAGTGCAAAATATGGAATCTAGGACTGGTATATTAAAATTGTCTAGTGTCGTGTGCAAATGCGTGAGACAATTCTCAATGTACTGAGATGCACCAAAAAGATCTTCGGATCAGATTACAACAAAAAACTATAGAGAAATCGAGAAAAAACACAATAGAAGTGGACTTTAGCTCAAGACGGTGCCCTTTTCCTAATCGAAATTGCGGTTCCAAAGTTCTTTGTGCTGTACAGAAGATCTTGAGCTCAGGTACTACAGTCCTACTCCCAGGATCTGGGGACGCTCCAAATCCTCTGTACTTGGGGATTAGCCATTATCAGTTTTGCCCCGAGAATCTCTGTTCTGAATCAGTCTTGATTGCTACCTTGCACACCCAACCCCCGCTGCAGGAAAGACCTCAGATTTTGGTCTCTGAAATGTATTTCGGAACTGGTTCCCATAGTAGCCTTTCTTTCCTTTCTCCATCCCGGTTGTACCTGTCGCGAAGTAAGGAAGCGACAATAGTTCTCCCTTACCGAAATAGACCTCCTTCTGACAACGAGGGCACTTGGGCATGGCGTCGCCGAAGGCGCAATCAGTCCGCACTGCAACGAGGCAGCGAGGCTTCCGGCAGAAAAGATCTCGCTTTACTGCCTGCGGCCACACCCGCGCGGGCAGTAGAGCGGGAAGTCAGGACCGCGCCCTCGGAGCAGCAGCATCGGCGAATCAGTGAGTTTTAGGCGCGGTTCTGTTGGCTGAGGGCTCCTGGCGACCGCGAAAATTAAGGCCCAGGATGGGTAGGTAACATGGTGGGGCTGCCTTAGGAAACGCCCTCGAAAACAGAGGGAAGGAAAGTGCTTGGAAAACAGCAAAAGCTCTCGAAGGATGGTAGCTTCAATTCAGTTGCAGGTACGAATTTAAAAAAATGCATTTGAAAGAGAATTAAGTGGATCAAACTATTGCTTAGTTATGTCATAATTGTTAGAAGTTTATTATATTTTTTCCCAATTACTGTATTTTTCATTGTTACTATCCTCTAGGAAATATTTGTAGGGGAGGAGATTCCACCATCTAAAGTGCTGCACTGCTCTTATTGTTAGGATTTTTTCTGATGTATAGTCAAAAATCTGTTTTCTTATCTTTTATCTAATGCTGCCTGATTGATTGTGTTGGAAGTAAGCATCCATCCACCCTCCTAGAAAAGGAAATATTTTGGGGGGATATTAAAAACGACAGAATAGTATATTTCGCCAAAGGAATAATGAAAAATCTTAGGCAAAGACAGCCCAAAGTCTCCCTCCCACAAGCAGAAACCAAACAGGCAGCTTTCGAAATGCACATTTGATAATCCTTTCAGAAAGATTGGCACCAGGAAGTTTAGAGCTGATGGGATTAGAAAGATCCCTAGAACCAACAACCCCTAGCCCAAAAAATCCAACACAGGACATAGCCATCAGCCACAGCCACAGGGAAGCAGGATATGACCTTTAGGACATAATAGGATTAACCCACCACCATCAGAATATCAAAAAGGACACAGTCAAAAGCTCAGGTCAAAGTTCATACCATAGGAACAGGAAACAACTCCAAACACAAAAGCCCAACAAGGTATAAAAACCCATCTCTCACAGCTACATGTGGTCAGGTTTCCCAGAGCCATATTTCTGTCTGGCTCTGCTCTTCAATAAACTACAACCTCCTTTCTAAAGCAGTCTCCATTTTGTTTATTCCCGGCTTGGACTGGATCCTGATGAAGATTTTTCTTTCAACAATTTGGCACCTAGGATGGGACTTCAAGCTAACCTCTCTAATGGACTCGGACTGGATAAGCCCCATTTTGCTGGCAGCAGACCCCTTGTGTTTGTGGATGGGTTTCCCAGACCCTGCCCATTTGGAGCAAGGGTAATAAAGGAAGTTTTGAGTTTGAGCTCGATTGATTGGCTGTTTCAACCAACTCGAAGTGGCATACAATTGTCCAATATATAACTTAAGATTTTAAAACAATAAAAATCAAATTTAAAAACAGAAGGTTATATTTGAATAGCATAAAACCAAACAACTTATTCAAAAGTGTTCACTATTTGAAGGTTAGAAAGAGAAGGCTATTCAAATATGGTGGGAGATACTATTTCGTATAAGGCAGGAGTCCCCAATCCCCGGTCCACAGACCGGTACTGGGCCACAGCCACTTACAAACCGGGCCATGCAGCTGGAGGTGTTGTGCAGGATCTGTTGCTTGATAAAGAAACACAGGAAACCAGAAGTTGCCTTTTAAGCTTTACGTTTTTATTCAGCTGAACAAAGACAGACTTCTCTAAAAGGGAGAAGCCCTGAATGACAGAAAATCCCTATTTTTATATTTTTTGATTACATAAGCAATCCACCCAGCAAAGCTGACACACATAAGATAAAGACTTCACCCAGAAAGGCTGCCACACTGTAGATAAGAAGGGAGAAAGCAGAAGTAGCTGAAAATGTTCTTTTTGGGTGTTTCCCTAAAGATACCGTATGTTCCTGGGTAGGCTGGGACATGGGGTGTTTTCCTTGCTGTCCTTTCATGACCCTGCATCCATGACTCTGCAAGTGCCCAAAGACAGCAGGGCCATCTGCATATATTCACAATTCATACTTCCTATGCTGTCCCCTAATTCCGGGTCAATATAATCCCCCTTTCATACTTTGAGCAATGCACAGAAGTACAATCATCAAACTGGATAGACACAGGATAAGCTTCTGTAGTATGTGGCCCACATCATTTAGGACAGGCAGAGGTGATTAGGGGCAAGCAGTGAAAGATATAACAGAAAAAAAGAACAAGGAACACCACAAAGAGAAGACCAATGAAGAGTTCCTTAAACCATCCCCAGGAGCCAACTGGTAAGGAATGAGAATATACCATTGAAGACTCCCCATACAGCATCAGTAGAAATCCCCAGATCCTTAGAGTGATTCTTGATTCCTTCTTCCACGAAATGAATGATGTGACTAATATTAACTTGACAATCAGTAATAAAAGTGCAGCAATGCAAGTACACACCCCACCCGTTGCTGCCAGTACCATATTCAATGCTTGGTGATTCTGTACTACTTCCCATATTTCTCCTTGTTCCTTATGAGTTGTGAAAATGCCTGTATGGTATGGTTAAACATTTCCTCAGTCCAGTCACCTAATTCTATAATAGATTCATAACTCAAACCAACCCCCATAGCTGGGATTATTGCTCGCATAATGGCATTTCCTAGGCCGTTAGGTATAGGATGGTGTTCAATATGTTCTTCATGCCCAAGGTAGTCGTCGTCCAACAACTGTGGATGCAGAAGGTCCAATCATTATGTTAGATGATACAGATTGAAGGAAAGATAATTCCTACATTGCATGTCTCCGACCAGTAAGCTGGCAAAGGCTTGTAGGCAAACTAGCCACAAAGGAACCACTGGTCCAGGTGGTTAGCAAGAAAAATACATTGTTTGCCTTCTAACCCTGCAGGCATATAAGCTCTAACACTAGACATATAAGTCATAAGTCCCATTGCTGCAAACAGACTACAAAGAGCAGAGTCCTTTTTGTAGTCGAGACCAAAGGTCTGATGACATTAATGCCACCCATCCCACATGGTAGTACTAACCTTCCATGTGACTGTGCAAGGTGCATAGATCCCTAACTTATATCTGGAAGAAGAATTAAAATGACTAAGGCAAGCTGCTGCATGGTGCTGTATACGCACCCCTAGTTTAGCAATCTGCAACTTTCCTGCCCCAAACATAGGGAATGCCCATCCCCTTGTGACATTGATCATGCTGAACATAGGGGCTTCCATGACCAATCCTTGTGTACCAGTTGGGGGTAAGTGAGTGCATATCCAACAGTCCGTTACATTCAAGAGTGTAACCCATGCCTGCACATTCTGAATGTGGGTGTTGGGAGCCCCAAATCCCTAAAGAGGGACTGGGAAATTGGGGGCCACTTTGGCCTTCCATCTTACTGGGAAAGATGGGAAGGATGTTTGTAGCTCCTAAGGCTGTTCAGGCACAAACTTAGGTATCCCAAAATCAGAGTGAAGAGGCAGCTGTTGCGCTTGTATATTGCCAACCGAAAATGTCATGACCCCCTCTTGTCTGTCCTCACCTGGTGTCAGCATGTCGGATGCTGCCTTACCTTTGGCTTTATTGTTTAAAGCACCCTTGGAGAGTGTGTCAGATTGTACGATTACAATCTGACCCATTCCAGTCCACAGGCAACACATGCTATCCCCGTAGTCATGTCACATACCTTGACCATGACCAGAACCTGGCCACAAATTTGACCAAACTTAACCATCCTTCCCATAATCCCCATAATCCCCCCCGGTAAGAGTAGAGCAAGCTCCACAGAAGAAAGAAGGAAGAAAGAAAAGCTTGGAGTATGAAGAGGAAAACAACATAGAGTAACAGAAAAGAAGAAATGAACAATTCAAACAATGTACAAGATAGAAACCAAAGCAGAGAGGAGCGACATCCACGACATAACTAGGCAGGGAGCCGGTGAGAAAAAAATAGCCTGAGAAGAAGCCTGGCAGGCACAAGCATTACAGTGACCAAAACATCCCGGCATTCAGGTCGAGGCTGTCCGTGAAACAAAAGCTTCAGCCCAAGGTCATTCCCAGCACCAGGGGCTATAGTCCAAGCAAGTCAGTGGTCCCCAGCATCGGGTGGTGGGGAAGAAGAGCGAAGGCAGGTGTGATGAATCCAAGTACGAATCCCAGCAACCTTGATGGCTGTGTGAGTAGCGAGAAGAACAACAAAGGGGCGTTTCCAGCATTCAGCTAAAGTGCTAGAATCAGTCCAGGACTTGACAAGCACCCAATCACCAGGAAGAAAAGGATGGAGTGGATGATCCAATCCTGTATAATGGAGGGTCTGAACAGCTTGAGAAATGGAAGAAACATTATTAGCAAGAGAACGCATATACTCCCTTGAGGGCCTGGTGTCCAAAAACAGGGAGGGAAGTGGATAAGGAAGAATGGTAAAGAAAGAACCGACCATACATGATCTCAAAGGGGGACAGGCCTTTTCCACACTTGCCTAAGATTGGGGTCTGTAGGCCGAATGAAGCTGCCAAGCAATACCTAGGGCCTGAGACATCTATTGGGAATATTAGAGATAAAGTGGGGTCCATTGTGAGAGCCAATGCCTTGGTATGGGAAGGAAAAATGCAGAATAATTTCCTTCAGGAGGGCTTTGACCACCTCACGTGCCTTGTTAGTACGGCAGGGAAAAGGCCTCATTCTATCCAGAGAAAGCATCCACAAAAACTAGCAAGTACCTAAAACTATGTGTCCTTGGCAACTCAGTAAAATCAACCTTCCAAAAACTAGCAGGAGCATGGCCAGCCCTAAGCCTCCCCAAGGGGAACTTAACAGTTTTCACAGGATCATTATGTTGACAAATCACACATTGCTTGATCATTGCGAGGGCCTTGTTATAGATCCTAGGACAAATAGTCCTTTATAAGAAACTCAGCCATGGCCTTATAACCCCAATGAGAGCTGGCATGCAATTTTCGTAAGATGGCCCATAATTCAAGTTCTGGGAGAAGGCATTTTCCGTCCTTCTCCAGCCAACGTCCATAATAAACAGCATCCAGTTTATAAGCTCTGTGCCTATCCTGTGAAGTATACATTG